GCCAGCCAGCCACTATGCCAGCCAGCAGCGCCGTGCTGTCCTCCTCCTATGCCAGCGTAAAGCCAGCGTCAAGTCAATGTCGCAATGTCGCAGCGTTGCAGCGTCGCCGCGTCAATGTCAAAGTCAATGCGTGCAGCATTGACACAAGACCGAATGCCTGTCCAGCCAGGAAGTCAACTCTTAAGTAGCGTGGATGCAGGGTCTGGACCCTGGGTGCTGAAGTTCTGCACCGTCCAGATCTCGATGTGAATGAGGGCCCAGATTGGCCAGAAACTGTATTCCTGCCGCCCTGAATGCTGTCTGGGTACCTGCACACAACAAGTGAATGTATCCGACCATAGGCCTGGGAGGGGTACCTTTGACTCTACAGTTGACTCTGACTGTTGAATTTCCTTTGTGCCGCGTTCGGTCACACAGCCTCCTCGACAGACTCAGGCTGGGCATGTCTCGGTCACATAGCCCAGCACAGACAACAGAGTCTGTGTTTTTACCGGGGGCAAAGTTCTGAGCCCCGGTCTGCTGCTGAACAGGGTTACTGCATATTTTATTTTTTGAACGAAATTGAAACCTCATAAATTAGAGAGATTTAGGTGGAAATTTCAAGCTCTTGAGGGTCCGGCGTGCCGGACCCCTTGTATGTATCTGGACTTAGCTGGAGTCCAGGGGGTACGGCGTTCTGAAAACGCCGTACCCCCCTGGATGTATCTGGACTTAGTTTGCATCCAGGGAGTAGGGCGTTTTCAGAACGCCGTTCCCCCTGGAGCTGAAAATATCGGCCAATTTTGTAGTTTTCAATTTCGTTCAAAAAATAAAATATGTCCGTTTTGACGAAATTGCTGTTCCTTCGGGCCTCCACACCAGAAGGGGGAGGAGCGTGAGAGTGTTCTCAATGTATTTTCTTTGACTTGCCGGTGGAATAGGAACAGGACAATGCTCCCCAGAATGAACAAGGAGCCAGAACGATAACGTTCTTTTTTTTTTTTTTTTTTTTAATAAAAATAGAAAAAAGAACAACAACAACCTTGACGATTGGTCTGTTTTCCGGTCGTACAAACCCCTCGGTGATTTCCCAGCAAGTAATGCCTTTGGCAATTTCCCGGCAAGTAAAAAGTCTTAGGGCTAGGCCCCGTCAGTGCAACGTTCATGCGAGGAAATCAGGAACCTGGCTGGTATTGCTGCCACGTTCATTCTTCGGGAGGAAGCATGAACATAGCACCCCAACTTGCCCTGCCCTGTAAAGGGCCTGAAGCGATTCCCTGGCAAGACCAATTATACATTGGTGTGTGTCACGTCCAGCTTCTGGAAACATGATCCAACCAATCTCTGACATATATTTTTCACTGACGTCTGCGTTTCTGCTTTTTTTCCTGCAGGTTTGTCTCACAGCACTTTGCCATATGTTGATGATTTTGATCTCCCTAGCAAGCACGCTGACGGCTTCATTGAAAGCCGTGAAGTTATTGATGGCACTAGAGTCTACTATGTTCTTTCTCTGCATTACAATCACATGGTTGCTGATGGGCAGATCCTTCAATCAGGTGTGCCCTTCACCCTCCTTACTCCTTCGCTCCATGAAGTATTTCTCTCTCTCTCTCTCTCTCTCTCTCTCTCTCTCTCTCTCTCTCTCTCTCTCTCTCTCTCTCTCTCTC